CTTTAGCAATTATTAAATATGTATAATTGTTATAAATCTTTCAATAAAGCAAGCATAAGGTACTAAGACAATATCATCTAGTTTTAGTAGTAATTTCTGGAGAAGAGAGATTATTACATTTAATTAGTTATTTATCTCAGGTAGGGGAGTTTTTTATCATTTCTTATAATAAATAAGAGAAAAAATTCAAATAAAAAATTAATATTCTGATACCTGGATCATATAAAGAGATTTTTGTATCATGCAATTTTGATCAAGATGCAGTTCTAGATAAGTAATATACATGTAATATATTTTAAGATATATTTCACATACTCTAAAAAAGTAAGACATCAAAGTATTCTAAAAAGTAAGACATTAAAGTATTAAAATTTATGGATCAAGGTTTGATGAATAATAGAATATGATTAGATATATAATTTAAAAAAAATTAGTAGGATATTAAAGTAAAATTATTACAGATATATATATTATAAAATTATGCTTTGGTAGGTTACCAAATAGAGATAACATTTTATAAAAATCAGTAGGATACCAAAGTAAAATTATTACAGATATATACTATATATATTATAAAATTATACTTTGATAAGTTACCAAATAGGGATAATATTTTATAAAAATTGGTAGGATATCAAAGTAAAATTATTACAGATATATATATATTATAAAATTATGCTTTGATGAATTACCAAATAAGGATAATAATTCAGCACTATATGTCTCATACTCAAATAATATAATAGGTAATAATTTGACACTACATGTCTCATCATTAGATGATATTTGAATGAATTATAACAGTTAATAATTTGGCACTACGTATCTCATTCTCAATTAATATTTAAGTGTATCATACAAAGCCAGAATATGAATACTATTTCAGTACTATATATCTTAAATCTGGCCTTTATCAAGGAATTAATCAAAAAGCTAAGGTACTACATGTCAGATTTGGACATAACCCTCATATCAGACCTGCAAATGATGATACGTGACTGAATGTATCATTAACACATTTTTTATAGATCATGAGATATCTAAGTGTGATGATGTGAATATAAATTTGTCATCATATTTTTTATAGATCATGGGTACCTAAGTATGATGATGAACTCATGAACTAATTGTCACTCAAATGATGATATACATGTGATTTTATTATTATATCTGAGTAGGAATAACCTAGACTAAGTAGAAATAACATAATTATGTTATTTTCACTAATAATTTTTTGATTTTTTATAATATATAATAATAATATTATTATTATTATCATTTTAAGTAATATAATAGAAAACTTTAATAAAATTTATATATTTAATAATTTAATAAAAAGAATTAAAAGTAATTATTTTAGATTCAGATATATATATATTTATAACTAGTTATAATTAGAGATAGATAAATGCATGCATAGTTTATTACTATGTATACTATGTGTACTATATATATAGTATATATATACATATAATATATATGTAATATACATAATAATCTATATATATATATATAGTAATCAATCAAATACACAACACAAATTCATAAAAATTAATGATAATTTTTATTTTCTATAATTATTATATATATTAATTAATAATTATCACTATTACTTGATATTTCTAATATATCATCACTATTATCTAATATATTAAATTATTCATTATTATTATCATCCTGATATTCACTTTCATTATTATCCTGATATTTACTTTCATCACTTTCATTTTCAATATAATATTGATTAACACTTATTTTATTATTAATACTTTTTTTGACAATTTTTTTTTGATTATCTGGAGATGTTTGTAATTTATAATTACTATAAATATAAACTAATTTAAAAACATGCTTACTACTTAACTGATTTCTTTTTTTATTGTTAATATTTGCAAAAGCTGACCAATTATGTTCAGAAGCTGCAGATAATGTTGGAATTGTTAAGATATATTATGCTAATTGTATTAATTTAGGTACTATTTGTGTAAAATTTGCAATTCATCAAGTAATTAGATCAATATTATCAATACACTCCCATGCTAATATATTACTGAAAAGATCTGATTTTGCTTTGTATTATATAAGTTGACTTCTAATAATAATTATTATCAGGATAATAATTATTAATAAAAGTTAAGATTTCATTCATGCTATCATTTGGTAATCATTTTTCAAAAAATTATGAATCCAATAAATAAGTAACTAGCATAATTGGATTATAAATTTTTTCTCATCTTGCAGTTAATATTTCATCTATTTGTATTACTATAGATGAATTTGAAATAGTTAATGAAGTTATAAATATAATTATTAATCAATATTAATTTTAATATATTATAATATTTAATAACTCATCTTTTAAATTTTTTAAAGCTTTATACCATTTATAAAAATAAGAAAGTTTTGAAGTATTACTTTCAAAAATTGTAATTTCTTTAGCAATTTCTTTAAAAATTACAAGAAGTTCTGTAATATTCTTCTAAAAATCTTCATTTAATATATTATTTTTAATTGATTCATTTATTATTATATTTGAATTGGTTAAAATTTCATGAGTAGCTAATTCAAGAGCTAACTAATTTGTTTTAAGTGATGTAAGACAAGCTGCACTAGATCTCTATCAAGTTTTTGCTAGAAGTTTAAGTGTATTTCAAGTATTTTCATAAGTTATTTTTTGATGTCATTTTAAAATTACTACTAGAATATGATGAGATTTGAAATATTTAATTATTTCTTTAGCTTTTGACATTATATTTTTTGTCCAATTAAGTTTCATAATATCATTAATTAATAAATTAAGTGCATATGCTAAATATCTGATAAAAATAATATTTGGATACTTGATAGCTAAAATTCTCCAGGCAGACTTCATTACTGAAGCATTATCTATAATTACAGCTGATAATTTTCCTGTATCAATTGTACTTATTATTTCATCCATATTTGTAAAAATATTTATTGTATTTTGTTCAATTTCACCTGTAGATTTAGCTAAAACAAATATTGATATTGGTATAGTTAAAATGAAATTAGACTAGTATTCTTGAATAATATTCGATCTATAATTATAATATTAATTAGAATAATAATAAAATTTTATAATAAATACAAATAATAAATATAATTTATCATTCATCACAAATAGAACAAACATATTCAGCATTATTTATATAATTTTCTACTTTATTTTTAGTATTTTGATATACTTCATTAAGTAATCAATTTAATATTTTTTTTATATAATAGAAGCTTTAATACTAAATGTATTTTTTTGACCTAATTCTTTAATGGTTCTATTTCAGAAAGTGATAATTATAATTCATATCTAAAAATGGCTTCTGCAAATGCTTTTTTATTTTCCTCTTGCTCAGAATTTGAAATTTTATTAACAAAATTATTAATATTACCATTTTATATATTTTATATATTTTGTAGTTATTGATTATTAATAAGATTAATTGCATTTATTGGACTAGTAATTATATTAATATTTGAATTAATTATATTGATAAAATCAGTATTTGATATTGTATTAATATTTAATTATATGTTTCCTGTAGACGAATTGGTATTAAATGAACTTGTATTAATAATTTCTGGATTTTCAAAGCTCATATCAAAAAATAATAGTTTAACTTCAATTGAGATATTTAAATATATGCGCAGATATAACTTACACCAAATTACTGAATTATTACATTGATATTTGGGATTTTTACAGTATTTACATTCTGCATGTTATTATTAAAATCCAGCAATATGACCAATTTAATTAAAATATTCTCATATAGAACTTTGAGAAGTCATAATGATAAAATATATATAATAATAAAGATGTAGATATAATCATTATCATTATATATATTCTGTATAAATGTGTTGGTTTATCATTATTTACTAAGCATAAATATCTTAATTGATAATGATTTATAAACTTAACCATATGTATAATTATGTATAGACATTTATGATATTGATTAGTAACTATATACATAATGTGCATAGGCATATTTCTAGTTATAATTCAAGTAAAATAGCTATTAAATAGAAAAAAAATGATATTGATTAAATTTATTAACTAAGTTATATATATAATAAGCTTTAAAATAAATATAATTATATTTATAAAAAAAATATTACAGATAAAATTTATTTATTAATTTATTTATTTATTTAATATTTATTTATAATTTAATATAGATATTACTTTCAATTAATAAATTTATATTATATTATATTATATATTTACAAGAGAATTCATTATCTTATAAATAATTGTCATTATAAGTTGGCTAAATAACTCTATGAAAATTATCATATAATATTCCAATGACATATTAATTCCAAGACTGCTTGAGTTATGTGTACATGATTACATTATCATTTTCAATAGCATCTGATTCATAAGACATGTGTCAAGTAGTAATAGAATACACAAGCAAAACTTGTGAATTCTGTGATTATATTCATAGATAGCTAGGTGGATCTAAGATATTTTGCTATCCTCAATATAAAACAAAGCTCGATAGAGATATTAATGGTGCTCACAATATTCTTCTTCGATATCTTAAAAAAAGAAGTCAGCTTAGGCTGCCTATTCCCTTACAGGACTTTTTATTACCTAATTTAGATTTTGCTTAATGTGGAGTTTTATTGATAATGATAGATCTTAATGTAGGCGTGGTAATTACCTAATCAAAAACATTTAGCGTGAGCATAACTTTACATACAATCTTGTTGACCAAATATCTTTTTATAAAGAAGGTTTGATCAAGAAAAATGGTATATAGGACCTCACTTTATTATTATAAAATAAAAGTGTTGAAGAAATAACATACAGATAAAAAGCATTAAAATCTTTACAATTCTATCATTATATTAAGTAGAACAAATGTTTGAAGTAAAGTGTTAAGGGAAACAAATTTTTATTATAGATTCACATATTTGACCAATCAGAACACAGATTAATATCGTGTGATGTTTTAATTCTAATACTAAAATCATGTCTCCGGTTTCTCCGGTGGGTCGATAATAGTACCCATCTTTGTAATGACTCGTGGTTTAACCATCTTCTGGAATACTTCGTAAGTATTCCATTCTTTGCCCAGCGGATTTCGTAGACTGCGTTCATATTGCTCGCGCGTTTCATATGGATATGGAACTTGCGTGGCAAGATATTTAGTTGCCTTTTTTTGAATTAACATATCAATAAATAATAAAAAATGAAAATAGACTATTTATCATAAAGAAAAAGATAACCTTTTTAATTCGTTTCTCATTGATTATCACATGTTTCAAATTTGCATCTTTTCTTTTCGACATTTCGATTCCTTCCCCATGTACGGGTTTCTGAATTACGCGGAAATCGTTGTTTTTCGTCAATCTCTTCTTTACGCCTTTACCCGCCCAAGATCCCTAATAGCAACTATTCATCAGTATTTTGCCGCATATTATTAAAATATAAAACACTGTTACACACCCATCCAGGTAACGTCAAATCTTTTTCTTTTGGCGCGTCTTCATCTATTGTAGCAAGTTTTTCTTCTTCAAATTCCTAAAAATCACATTTTAGAAAGCACAAAATATTCGAATAATTAAAGAGAAATAAAAAATAAATATTGTGTAGTTACTTCAACGACATTATCATTAGCAAATGCACGTGCGACTAATTCTCGTTGTGAGAATCCTATTGGCGTTTTATTGTTATCAAAATAGTCGTCGTCATCATATTGGTCAAGTGACGCGAAATTATCAATAGCAGTGGTAGTGGATAGACTTTCAGTTGATTTTTTTTTCTTTGATACTTGCGAGGTAGTATCTGCGAAAATTATAAATATAATCAATTCTATCAATCAAAAAAAAAATAAAATATCAAAAATTTACTCACCAGAATTTTGACCAGCGGACATCATCGTCAACACTTTATCTAAATCAATCTCAACATCATTCAAAATTTCTTCATCATCGTGTAATTTTCGCTTCTTTTTTTTTATTTTTATGACGGATTTTTCGGATTTCTGAGTATCTTTGTTGACCTTTGATTTATTTTTGGATGTAGAGATCTTAGACGATACTTCTGTTTGAAGCCATGGGTTATTATCATCATCGATTTCTTGGTCTGAATTGGTATCGTTGTTTGAATTTTTCGGGTGCTGCTTAATCTTGTCAGGTGTTTTGGAAGAATTAACGAGCTCTGATGATTTATTAAACTGTAGGAGAATAAAATGACAATTTAAATATATATATATATATATATATATAAGGTTATAATAACTCAAAAATTAATGAAATATTAAATTACTTGTATCAATTTCTCAGTATCAATAGTCTTGGAGGTCGTTCCTTGATTCTGCAAATGTATAACAGATTAATCTCAACATTACATCTCGAAGGTCAACAATCTAGTTGGAAACAAACCTTTAATGATGTATTACTTCCAAAAACCATTCTTCCAGGATTACCGTCGATTCTTCGACCCAAATTATCCCCTTTTACTGACTGATCTTCATCCTTATTATGAGCTGACGAGAAACCATCTTTATCATCATCGTCATCGTCTTTATCATCATTCTCATTGTCTTTATCAATAATATCAGTGAAATTACCATCTTCAAGATCTTTCACAAAATCTTGAACACTTTGATCATCACTGTGATTGGATTCATTTTCATCGGAATCTAAGCCACTTATCTTCCGTTTCAATTTCTCATGCAACTGCAACTGTTCCACGATCGCCTGTCTACTCTCTGCATCATTACGTCGACCATATTTGAGTGCCTGTTTCGCCCATCGACTGGTATTCTTATGTTTAAGTGTCATTCGTTCCTGTGCACGCGCGGCTTCCAATTTCAATTGTTCTTGATGACCTAATTCCGGATCAAGCTGGCTCAATTGTTCCAAATTCAATTTATTTTTCTCTCGTTCCCTCTTTTTGATCTTGTGATATGTTTTACTCTTGATTTTTGCGATTCGCTTCGCTTTGAGATCTTCGCGAAACATTAGTTCACGCATCATTCGCAGTTCACGGCGACGCGATTGTATTTCTTCGATGGTGAGTTTATTCAGTTCCAATTCCTCATATTGTTGAATGTCTTTTTCCTTGAAGCCGCTCTCTTCCAGTATGTGTTCAACTTGTTTCTCGAGTTCTGTGGACGCCTAATTCGTCCAAAAAATTATATATTAAATATTTATCAATGGAAACGAAATTCCAATAAAACAATGTAATGTCTTGTACAAAATCATACTTTAAAAGTACCAGCCAATGTATTATTCGACAGTTGATATGATGCAGCACTAGAACTCTTCGAAAACTCTAAATGATCAGACTCGCGATTTCGCTTAACAATCGGTTCCCATTTCGATATTTCTTTTTTCGTTTCCTCGTACGCTGCCTGCCTGTTGAATTTTTCCTGGATTCTTTTCGGTAATGGAGGAGGCAACGGTTGTTTGACCTTATTCTTTTTATTATCAAGCTCCTTTTTCAATATACTATATCCCGTCTCCTCCTGTAAAGTGGCCAAAAGATCCTTTAATTCAATTTTTTTATCCATGTTATTTCAATCGTCGTTTGCGTTTTTTTACCCAAAAAGTGCTTTTCACGTGATTTATCGTAATAACGAAAAAATTCAGTTTTAAAAATGTGTTTTTAACTAACCTACACTTTCTTAATACACACTTTTTTAATACAACGAAGAGGCTGATTAAAAATTTTGACTTTAGCTTATGTGAACTTTCTGTGTTCGAGAAATTTTACTATATTAATTGTTAGAAATTTAGAATTTTAATATCAGAAATTTCAAGAAAAATCGCATGTGGGTTTTCTTTTCGAAATGTTATTATATTTCTTATCTCGTGATTTGATTAGTATACCTTTAAAAATCACACGAACTGACACATTTTCTTTGCCGAAATATTTTTTATTTCATGACTTCCATTACAATGCCGAGTACTCTTGAATCTATCTTTGCTCGCATCAACCGCTTTCAAGCGCTTGCGTCCATTGAGGACAGCTCTGATGACGAAGTGTTGCACGCTTTCAATATCGACCCCCTTCCTAAACCCTACAGATCACTGCGGGTCTTGTCAAAAAATCACCTTTTTGAAGAAGCACCAAAGAAAGCAGCAACGGAGACAAAAACGCGGTGTAGACGAGGAAATACAACGAAAAAAAACTAGCAAAGAAGAAACGAGAGCGGGAGATTCGAACGAAAAGGGCGTATGGCAAAATCACTGCACAGGAAAGGAGGCAATGCTCAGCTTCTTCCCAATGCGCCAAACCCTGCACTGATCCACTGCATTGGCCATTGGCAAGGAATCAACAGCGGTATCAAGGGGCATTCTCGACGAGGAATAAAACAGATTCGGGCACAACACAGGATCTATGGAAACGTGGCAATTACCAACAAGTACGATTCTTCCAAAACATGCCCATTCTGTTTTTCCAGTCATTCTCCATCGTGCTCGAAGGAATGTTGGTGGAAAGGATCGAGTCGGCCGTTTGCATGGAGCCGTCGAATGCGTGCATCCCCAGTGCCCAGAAAGGAGGATAAACTACACCACAAGAGGAAGAGATACAAACGCGGCGGCGAACATTGCGCTTTCCGGGGCCTCCGTCAAACTCTCGTCCGACCATCAACCCCTTCCTCCATTTCGCCGCAATGCCAATCACAGAAGGTACAACCTTTCAAACGAACTCCTTTCAGTCGTGACACCAGCATTGGGTTGCCCGCGATTTCATTCGAGATGAATAAATATGGTAAGGAAGATTTTGAATTTTTGAATTTTTCCTGGCCACATGTTCACTTTGTCTGGTTTTGTTGCAGATATAGAAATTCGTACAACCGAAGCACATACTCATGCATGTAAAGATAGAGTATCAAAGCTTAGCAAGATTAGGAACCACCATTTTTTCGCTATTGAATCTAGATGTCTTTTTTCTTTTTCTATACAAATTCCCAGAACTAAATACACTCCTTAATCCACCTTTTCTACAATTTACCTCATATTAAATAAAAAAGTACTATCCAAAAAAAGTAAAAATGAGAGACACTGGTCGTCTCTTTGTAATTGGCGTAATACTACTAATTTGTTTTATCGCATACAGCAGTCAAATATTTATATTTTGGGAATATCTTGGCGGCTTGAACATCGAGTGTCTAAAAGTGCTAGTGCCATTTAATTTTTTTGTGTTGAATATATTTTGGAATTATTATTTAACGTGTACGACTGATCCGGGAAAAGTGCCGGTTGATTGGGTGTGTATTTTTCATTCGACATTGACAATGAGTTTTTTTAAAGGAATTTTGTGAAATGAGAATACTAAAACTTCGCTTGATAAAATTTTAGGCCCCGTCATCACCAGATCAAGATGGAATAGAAATGAAAAAAACAACACGTGCACCACGATATTGTCGAACATGCAAGAATTATAAGCCACCACGATCACATCATTGTAAAACTTGTAAAAGGTGTGTGGATGTGTATATGTTCATATATATTTTATATTATGATTTTCAATTAATAATTTCATTCAATAATTTCATTCTATTAATAACAGATGTGTGCTCAAAATGGATCATCATTGTTAGTGTATATTTTTTTTTGATTTTGATTTTAATATTTTACAAAAAATGTATACATTAATTGACCAATTCAAAAGGTCCATGGACAAACAATTGCGTCGGACACTACAACTACGGACACTTTATCCGCTTCATATTCTGGGTTGACGTTGCGTGTATTTTTCACTTCACATTGCTAATAAAATCCACAATTCACATAATCGAAGAGGCGTCGTATATTCGGGTAAGTTACTGAATGTGGTTTACATTAGATTACGATTCATATCGATTTCGATCTATAAAAATTAAGGCACTGACTAGCGCATCAAACTTTTATTACTAGTAGTACGACGACACAGAAGCCGAACCAAGCATAACAAAAACAATACTCATCGTACTGAATTTCGTTGCGTGTCTTCCTGTATTGTTTGGTGTTGGTCCGTTGAGTATTTATCATTTTTATTGTATGTGCTCTAATACGACTACCATTGAAAGTTGGGAAAAGGAAAAAGTCGCAACGATGGTTAGACGTGGGAAAATTAAAGAGGTATTTTTAACTGCTCATTGCTGTTTTCTTTTTTTGGTAGTTTCTAATGATGTTTATGTCGATAATTATGTGCTTTTAATAATTCGTAGATCAAATATCCATACGACATCGGTCTACTTGCAAACATTAAATCAATACTCGGTGACAATCCGATACTTTGGTGTATGCCACAATCGATAATCCAAGGTGGACTGTCTTATCCGATTGCAAAAGATGCAGGTATGAACAAAGAAGAATCAGAGTTGGAGATGGAGTACATTGTGTAACGAAAATGTCTCGAATTAAATAAGAAATAAAAAAACTTTTGACGAAAAAGTTTGTAGCTTGTATGTTGATTATGACTGGATGTTGGATGTATTCGTACAACTTAATAAATATTACAAAGTAATCTTTTTAAATCCAGAAAAAAATTTAATAATAATACACCAAAATTGACACTCGATCTAACCAAAAGAGTGTGAAATGTTTCCCTACATAACCTCAACACAGTAATACTATTACTGCCGATATAAGATCTCCCCTTTACGCATTTTTCTATATTTTTCAACTTATTTATTATTTTTACCAATTACTTAACAGATAAAACACGAATATGGCCACCCAAAGATCCTGACAACAAACCATCTGCGACAATTTTACCAAAACCATGGGACATATACAATCCACAACATTTACAACAGCAATCCAATACTACATCTCACCATTATTATAATCAACGACGGCATTACAACAATAATCGGCAACAGCGTTCTAGTAATGAAAGAGAAGGCAAACGAGGAAGAAGTGGAGGCTACGTAATACGTGATATTTCTTCGGAAGAACGTCAACTGGGAATACATCATGATTATCGAAATCACCGAAACAGCAACAATAATCTTAATAATAATATTAGTAATAATGGTATTGATGGTGATAATCCAGAAGATTATAATGATCCGTATCATGATACTGATGGAAGTACAGTGTACTCGACAGAAAGTGAATTTACGGACGGAGATTTTGAGGATGATGTAAGCGATGAAGACGATTCAGAGGATATAAATGACGATAATAACTATAATGGTGATTATGTTGATGAATTTGATGATGAGAATTATCCAGAGTATATTGGTGTTGGAAGAGACGATAATGATAATATTAATAATAGAAATTCACAATCGATATCACAACAGCAGCAACAAAGACGAGTTCCTCGTTACTCTTCTCACTCGTATAAAAATTACTCTTCAAGAAACAATGTTAATCGATTCCAGCGCACCAATTATAACAACAATTGGAAGACACAAACACCATCCTTCAATAATAACCATTATGATAGTAATAATGAGGATGACGATGATATACCAATTGGAATGATGATTGCACAAAAACAATTGCAAGCAATGAACACGAATTCAATAGCACAACCAACAAAGACAGCATCATCTTCTTTACCTCCAAAATCTATCGTATCTGAAATCACATCTTCATTGATTGGAGAAAAGCGAGAGACAATAGTAGAAAAAATAGAGAAAATTGATTAATCTGTAATTAATTTTTATTTCTTTTTTGTACTTTATTTTTTCCTAGATTAATTTAATTAATTTGCTAATGGGTGAAATCATAAATGCATTGTTTCAAAGTTTTTTTCTGCTATCTAACGCCCATTAAATTTTTTTCTTAATAATTATTTTATTTAAAGGAAAAACGTGAATTTATTAATGATTAGAGCAACGATGTCATTGCAATCATTTGAAAAAGCTCAATCATATAGCGATTTATTTAAACTCGCGCATTAAAAAACATAGGACATAATTTCTACAGAATTCAAAGAAAAAAAGCAGTTATCAAAAACAGATCAATTAAAAAATAGACAAACACATCGATATCTATCGTAGATCATCCAATTTCTCACGATTAAAAAGTGAGAAAGGAGACTTTTAATTGGTAATTTAATAGTTTCCACTTTACAATTGGTTGTCTCTTTGATTTAAAGGAAATCACCAGATCAAAATTCGTTTGTAATTCCTTGCATTTTTGTCATTCGCATATTTCTCACTCCGGAACGTAACACTATTTTTTATCCGAGCCAAATATCTCTATAAAAGCGCCATGTCTACTATCACTCTCAGTTGTTTGGTTGTAGGAGAAAACCCTTATGAAAATTCTTTTCCAGTTGATATTGATACTAACAAAGTTAAGACTATTGGTCACCTCAAGAAAGCTATCAAGGAGGAGCTTCACCCTAAGTTTGAGAACGTCTCCCCTAACGACATTAAGTCGACATTTCCTCAAAGAAGAAAACAAGAAACTTGAGCTCGTCAACACATAAATAAACGTTAATATCAAGGAGGAGCTTGGTGGTGAGGGGCTGCTACCACTTTCGAAAATCAGCCGACGAGCACATACATATCATCGTACAGCGCTCTGCTGAGACGAAAGAAGTTTACTGCACCGCAACATATGGGCGTAAGGTAAAAAAGTTTCAGTGGACAGTAACCCGTGGGCAAATAACCTTATCAGCTTTGAAGTCTCGGCTTCGCACATGTTTCACATTTCTGGATGGGACAGAGGATGAGCATATCATTATAAACTGTGAGTGTAGCATTGAAAAGAAATTGTTTGTTTATAGCACAACAGCCATTTTCGTCGTGTACATTCCCCAAATCAAGACGTTATTTGGGTTAACAGTCGATAGTTATATTGATCTCCCCAGGTTCGATGGAGAGTTAACCGGCACAACCGCTTATGAAAAGGTATTGGAGCACGTTTTGGAAGATATAGCTATGAAGCAGAAGACCTGCATTCACGTCACTAGTGCAAACGAAGCAACAAGACGCGAATTTATTTCTTCCGTTCTCCATGGCGTTGCCTCTTGCTATGATGGTGAAATGAAAGTATGTCCAGAATATGAGTTATATGGAAGCCATGGTAAAGGGCCAGTGGATTGGGTTATCAGGATTGGAGATACGATTATCGTTGTTACCGAGGCTAAAAGGGAGGATATTAACCAGGGTGTTGGCCAGAATGCAATTCAGTTACAAGCTTCGTCTCAGCGTAATAAAAGAAACGCACATACAATGAGGCTTTGCGTGAAGATGTAATGTATGGTATCGTTTCGACAGGGGTCGACTGGGTCATAATTAAGTTAGTCACTACTGGCGAATGCAATGACAATGATAATGGGAATGTCGAGGTATTATTGAGTTCGCGAACACCATTTACTTTTTCCCATTAATGAGAGTGTGTTCGACAAAAATCTTATGCTTGAAAAACTCAAGAATTTGTTGGGCAAATCAAATAGGTGTTTGATCGCCAGATCGAATCGCAGGAATCATTTGAAGCTAGTAAAACAGAAGATAAATAAGATAGACTTGTTTTGTTCGAAAAATAATCGTATCTATAGACACTAGCATAGAAAAAAATCATGTATCCGGTTAGCTCTGCTAACCATCATTGTATTTATTTATTAATTCTGTATTAATAAAGCGAGTCTTTACATTTGCTAACCACATTGAACAATTCACATCTTGTATAAAATTGTTATCAATCATGTCAATCGTACAATCTGATAATTCATTAAGAGAATTAAACGCTAGGTTCTTAGCTGAGATTGCTGAGCTAACGTTTATTTTTGAAAGATAGCTCGTATCTCGAAATTTTGATTATGAAACCATCTTTTGTGTTCTAACAAAAAATGTTCCTTGCGAAATTTCCTAATCTATATGATCAAACATTTACCGTTATTATTTGAATACTGCAATCGTTGATATTTTATTAATTTATTAAAATAAAACTACGTTTATTATAATTAGAATGATGCAATTGCTTTTTTTTAAGCTTATTATAAATACAATTGTTTATAATGTTTATGGTTTTAAAAGCAAAGCTAGAATTTCTGTAATGGGTAAGAATTTATATCTCGTCAGCCTGTGATTAGATTTATGTCATAAAGATCAGCTACTCCAAAATTCATTGTTTGGCGCAGTACTTAAATTGGGTTTCTATTGCGATCATTATGTCATAAGATCAGCTGCTCGCTGTTTGGCGCAGTATTTAAACGATTGTTTTGCTGATCTTTTTCTAAGGAATTGTGTAGAAAAATCACAATATAAAGAAATTATTTATTTTCTTCGGAATATAAACTGCGTATTTAAAAACTATATATATGTATCGTACTTGTTGTATTGTATCGTACTCGATTTATCGTTCTCAATTAACACAATAAACTATATATATCGTACTTGGCCTATCGTTCTCAATTAACAACCGGCAAAAGACAAAAATTAATATAGCAAGCAACTATCTTATAACCACAAGCATACACCTACAAGAAAAATAAAAAATTATTTAAACAATGACCGACATTCTACCTTATGAACTACCTGGCCATGGAATTAGTGGTCAAGAGGCCGTATATTTCGTCAACTACTTTATAATTGAAAGACTTCCGGAAGGTATATGGTTTAGATACGCGGTCGAAATAAAGAAATCTGAAGGAAGTTCCAATACGCAACGAGAGCCAAAGTATCCGAAAACAGACATCAAACGTAAAGTGTTTAAAGAGTTGGAAAAAAACGAAAGAAGTGCATTGTTTCAAAACGTTTCAGGGTTTTTCGACAACGAAAAAACGTTATACACGAATAAACCACTCAATAACGTCTTTAATAGTTCGGTGCTGCTTAATGATGATCAGGATTTGAGTGGCAAGCCAAATAAGTTTCTGGTGCAAATTAAGTCTCAAGGACAACTCGATCTCAACGAACTTCGTACTTGTATGCAAACGGAAACTTTTAGTTGGGATTTCTTCAATATGGAAAGTTTAAAAGCGCTTAATGATTTGATGCATAGTACCCCCTCCAACAAATATTTCCAATTCAAAAATATAATTTTGGATCCGAATGTTCACAAATCGTTAGGTGGCGGTTTTGAGTTAAGGTCATGTTTCTTCGAAAGTGTTCGTCCCGGGGAAGAATCATTCTTTGTAAATGTAAACCATACTCACACTGTATTATACGAGAAAAAAGATTTGGTTACGTTCTTGTGTGAATTTCTCGGCCGTTGTGATTTGCCTCCAATCTTTAATGAAGTACAACAAAAAAAAATCCACCAAGTCCTTACCGGATTGAAAGTCAGACCATTACATCTACCAGAAATCAAAACTCAACAACAGATTCGGTGTATTTTGACGGAAAAAACTATAAATGTAAAGGAATTTAAAAATAAATACAATATCGAGCTTAAATACCCTCATGCGGTGGAAATTCAGTCAAAGGAAATTTGGCCACTTGAATGCTGTGAAATTATTGAGGGACAACGTGTTTCGAAGAAAAATCTTAATGACGATCAACTCGCAAAGATTATATCCTTCTCCACCGCTCTTCCTAAAGCGAATATTGAAGCTATCATGAAACGAGGTATCGGACATATGTTTGACTTCCCTAATGATCCAAAACTTAGGGATTTCGGAGTAGTAGTCAACACTCAAATGGCAGAGGTTCCCGGTCGAATTTTGGTTACGCCGACTATTAGTTATCATTCGTCTTCTGAGCACAGTGCAAAATTCATACCGGATAAGGGAGTTTGGAATCTTCGTGGACGAAAATTCATTACAAGTGGTGTTCCATTGAAATATTGGCTTGTCTTGTGCTGTGTTCAAGAGAAATACTTGCCTCGTCAGGCTGTCGAAAACTTCATTGCTACGTTGGTTAAGACTTGTCGTAATCAAGGAATGGTTATAGAGACGGATAAACCGCAAATCATTTATGAAAATACAAATGGAGATTTCAAAGAAACAATTAAAAAAGTATATCATAATTCAAGAAATAAACCGCAAATGATCATGTTTATTCTACCCCCACAAACTATGAACAAGAGAAAAAAACAGCACTTTCCACGTGAAGTCTATAATCGTAGACTGAATCAGAGCCTTTACCGTGATATAATATATACGACCGCTACAGTCCTGGGTATACTATCGCAATGTATTGTCGCTGAAAATATCAAAGAAGGCACTTCTTATTGCGCAAATGTTGCTTCGAAAATTAATTTGAAGCTTGGTGGAACTAATTCGATTCTCGATGAGGCTGAAATTTCCGAATTCTCAAAAGAACCTTTCATGGTTTTGGGTGCTGACGTTACACATCCGACTGGTGAAGAACCATCAATTTGTTCAGTTGTCGGTTCAGTTGATCAAGCTGGCAGTAGATATACTTATAGGATCCGCGGACAAAAAAAGAAAAAAGTAGGCACCGAGAAGATTAAGAAAAATGCGGCAGAAGAGAAAATCTTGGAAATGCGTCAAATTGTCAAAGAACTTTTAACGGAATATAAGGAAAAAAATCGGTGTTTGCCTAAAAAGATCATCATGTATCGTGATGGTGTATCTGAGAGTCAATATAAAATGGTTCTTGAATATGAATTAATGGCTATTAAAGCGGCTTGTAACGAATTCAAAAATATAGATGGAGAAACTTATGATCCTCCGGTTACTTTTATTGTCGTCGGTAAAAGACATCATTTTCGTGCATACGCAAAGGACGAAGTAAATACTGATGGAAAAGGAAATTGTCTTCCTGGAACAATATTTGATCGAGTAATCACATACCGACATCTTTCCGATTTTTATTTATACTCTCATGTCAGTATTCAAGGAACATCGCGACCAGCACATTACATCGTATTACACGATGAAAATACTTTCAACGTCGATGCCCTTCAAAATTTCACTTACAAACTCTGTTATAACTATCAACGTACGACACGAGCAGTTTCTATTCCTTCTTCAGTATACTATGCACACTTGTCCGCCAAATACGCACGCAATCTTGTAACTCGGACGCGAAACGGTACTTATGAACTTCGGCCAGTGCGTCCATCGCTTGTAGAATCTTTTCCAATGCATTTCATATGATTGCAAGTATCTATTGTGTTTTCACAGCTTTAAGCTTTAGTCAATACATCCATTCATTTCATTAAGCATTCCCTTTATTTATCCAAGAACTTTATCTTATTTTTACATAACTGTGTTCCATGTTATATCATGCTAGTATACAAATTTTATCTCTGCTATTCATAACTTACTAAAAAAAACTATTCTTTCTATAATCCTAGTATCTACTATTATTTTATCGGCATTATTACATCTTTCATATCCATTTGTGTTTTTTCGTTCAACCAATTGATTATAAATTGGTCTTTTATTCCTTTCCGCTTCTTCATCATCCATATTTAGTTTTTTAGAAATTTTGTTTAGTATAAAACTTATTATTCTTATTTTTATTTTAAGTTAGTTATAAAACATTAATAATCTTTGAATAAAAAATAAGTCTACTTATTTATTTTTTGGATGAAATGCGATAAGCATCTTTAAGATGTTCCATAACTTTGAGCGCCACTGTATTGAATTTATTCTTCCATTGAAAGAGAGCTAGAACTAAAATTAAAGCAACTTTAGATATAGAAGCAACAGCAGTAATGACATAACACGAATTCTTAATCTTTGCATTAATTGCATTTTGAAATCATTTTTCATTATATCTTTGTGTTTTGCTTGCTGAAGTTGAAGACATCTGGAGATTATGTTCAATTTACGCGAATAAATGATACATGTCAGTATGCTAAAATGATTAATTTTAGGAACCATGCGGGAGTTAAAAATCCAAACCGATCTCTGCTTATTAGATTTGAACAGTTCACAACTTATAAATCTGAACAATCATATTTCAGATACGTCATATCTGGTAATATTGAGATATTGAAGGTGAAAGCAATGTCAATAAGCATTGCAGTATAGGACTAGATGAATTTAAAAGCGGTCTTAATCTATTGTTCATTCTTTACCTCATCTATAAAAGTTGAGTAATTTGCTTTGAATTGTGTAATGTTTTCAACACAACATCTATCTATTTTTATTTCGCTTCCATGGTCCATAAAACCAGGTTTACTTCATAAATTGTCCCAAAATCTCCTCTTGCAAGATATTTAACGTTGGTAATCATTCGAAATCGAATAATTTATTTCTACATCAGCAACTTTATAATTAATTTTGTTGATATCTTTATTTCCGCTAGACAATTAATTTTATAAATTCGTTTGTGATAAAAAACAGCTACCCAGTAATTATCTCCTTGATATTTACTACAATCATGAATATTGTAAACTATATAAGCATCGTAGTATTATATTTTTGACAATGTATTCGTTTGTAACTGGGTTTGAAGTCATTACATAAATGGTATTCCTGGTGCTATAATCATAGCATTTAAGCTCAACCTGAATCTATTTTTTAAAAATTTGATTTTATCAGAAAATAAAAGAAACTTTCACTTTAGAAAATGTTCATTTTTTATCTCGTGTATAAATTCCGGAGTAACTTTCTTTAAACTGTTTATGATTTCAGCTTTTCTTTCACCATTTCGTTTAAATTTTTAATAATCCCACCTATACACATTTATTAGATTGTCAATATCCTTACCGCTAAACAATTCATCGTTAAATTCGTTTTTGATATTTGAAAGCATTGCAACCCAATTGTGTAGACAATGCCAACAATTATTACGATGATGGAACTCAAATTCACTATATTCCGAGTTTAATTAGTATTCGTTACATAGTGAGTTCACTACATCCGGAGTGACCATGGAAATTTTTAGAATCTAACTAAAGTAACGATATAAATTCCCCTCACTGTCCAGCGTTTCTACCGGCGGCCCACGCCCTTTTTTAAGGACGGGAAAATTAACAAATCTGTAAACAAGGGCTTAAACTCAGCATTAACAATATACCTTTTGCTTCAGAACCAAGAATATATTCTATACAAACACACAGCTTAACACGTTTTTACTAAAATTTTAAAATATTTTTCATTTTATTACTATAAATTATAATTAATTAAATAATTTATTAAAAAAAATGTTTGAGTTTTATCTTTTTGCTGATATTTTAACTTATATTTTCTTTTATGCCACAAAATATATAGATTTATAGTAGGTAACCCTTCTGCCAGCTTAACGCGCTTTGGGACAGTGACAGGTGCGGTTGTTCTACTAACTTCATATGTATTATACATATATAGATTTACGGTAGATAATTACTACCAACTTCATATTAAGTGTTATACATAAAAATGAATAATGATATTACATGCAGCCTACGGCCATCTTTGTGACGGATACTACAAATCATTATCATATTATGAAGCAACGGAAGAATTGAAAAACCTTGAAAAATATCAATTTATTTACTCAAATTTAAAAAATTAATCTTTCTGGCTCGGACTCTAGTAATAATATGATTATATATTACGATTGCTCTCCGCCAGATAACTAAAATAAACAGTACCAACCCACCATCACATTCACCCGTGATTGCAGCCATATTTTCATGATAAATTAGAAAGTTTATTAACACATTTATACACTTGAAAATAAAGTTCGGAAGAATATCTTTTTTTTTCCTAGTTTCCTAGGGTCTGTTGCTTTTTTTGCTTTGTATATACAAATGGCAGATGACAAACTTGTCGATGCCAATAACTCACTATATTCTTGTTATAACCAAAATTTTGCTTTGTGTGTGTGTGTGTGTGTGTGTGTGTCTGTGTTTGCTTGCATACTAAATGCTATCTTGATTCTCCCTGTTAATCAAAATTTAACGTTCGGTGCTGAGCAAATAAGGAAAGATCTGTCTATTTCAATATTAAAAATTATCTTTCTCTGAAAAAACAACAAAAAGAAAGATTCCCGATAAGAATTCCTCGTGACATCACCGATATCGATATCGATATGTCGATCAAACAAAAAAGAATATATTGTTATATCGATATATTAGATTATCGATATCTTTATTCCCGCTAGACATACAGTGTGATTCAAAATTATTTGGAAAAATAAATTTATTATTACTTCACAATCACCAAACCAATTATAATAAAAATATATTTATTTGAAAGATAAAAACATGTATTTTGTTAAAACAAATTAATAATGAATAGTATCACCTTTACTCTCTATTACTAGTATACATCTTCATTTCATCAATTTTACTAAACTCTCTAATATATCATTTGGAATTAAATTTCATTTCTTCTTCATAAATGATTCTAATTGGTCTAAATTTTTTGGTTTTCTTTTTTCTACATTTCTTTTGACTATATTTTATAGTTTTCAATTAGATTTAAGTCTGGGTCACAAGATGATCAATTAATAACTTCAGAGATATTTGATTCAAGATAAAACTTTGCAAGTTGGCTCATATGTTTTGAATTATTATCCTATTAAAATCTCTATTTTCTTTTCAGAAGAGTATTAATATTCATAATATTATTTTTTAAATATCTATATAAAATTTGACATTTATTATTCTTCTAAAACAAAATAAATCAACTTTACTCACTTTACAAAATTCATCTCATGCAAAGATTTTTCTTCTATCTTTAGGAATTCAACAAACTGATCTTGGATTCTTATGTCACTGATCAATTATATTACGAAAGAGTTAGAATGCAATTTTATCTGTAAAAAAAGATTTGTTCTAATTATCATTTATGTATTTTTTGGCTTACTTCATCTATTTCTCTTTATATTGCAAGGTAAGCATTGGCAATACTTTTGAAATATCATTTTTATAATCATGATCTTACAAATATCTTAAAATAGTCAGTTAAAATACTGTTCCATCTAATTTTGTTATCAAACTTCTTGTTAATATAGAAGGATTTTTTTGGATTTGTCATCTGATTTTTTCTGATATTTCTTGCAAAATTATCTTTGGATGATCTATCTCTTTTAACTATATTACTTTTTCAGTTTTTTCAAGCTTTTTTAGGTTGTAATAAATAGTTGATATTAGTATTTTTATTATTGCATGTATTTTTTTGGCAGAATGTATATCCTAATTTCAATAAGATAAGATTATTTATCATTGATTATGAAAGATAATAGTAGTGTTATAATATAGATTTTTATATATATTTTATTAGTATTAGTTATTTTATACTCGCATTTTTATTGGACAATTATTTAGTTATATTTTATTGGACAATAATTAAGATAGTATTATTGGTAGATATTTTTAGATAGTTTTACAA